CAGATACAACAATCTCCCACACCGCCGTCATCACAACAAAATTACCGGCAAGTGCATCAAGATCATCATAGTTCACCCACACAACAGCTGCTATTGCAGCAGTCACAACAGCAGTCTGCGTCTCCCAGCAGTACAGGGCAACTTGTATCACGGGCCTTCTAATTCTAAGCTGGAATGAAGCAATTAGTGGTTGGAGCAGTTCCAACAGCCATGGGTCCTGCCAGGGTCGGGTTTGCTTGCCCTTGTAACATCAGTGTACAGGTACTAACTTTTACAGATTTAGGCAGGTCTGATATGGTGTTATTATATGTTAGGTTGTTGAACTAGGAAAAACTAAACATGTAGATTTATCTTACAGCTTATATTGGAATGAGATAAATGATGTCCCTCTCTGCCACATTGTTTTTGCATAATTGGCTTGTTAAAGTTTCTCCCTGACAATTTCCATCCCAAGTCCCATCATACCCTCTCTTGGTTGAATGCTCGAATCTCAAATTATTTATGGATAGCTATTTTTTACTTCTGGCTATCTGTGGGTGCGTGTCCGTCTTTACTTTTTCGATGGTGTAGAATTTGTTTCCTTTACTTTTTCCTTTTTGTTTATTTCTTTGGTATCTAAATTTTCTTTCAACTTAAACAGAGAGTTGGGACTAATCAGGCTGTGATTTTTTTTGCAGATGAAGCTGGTTATTCCATTACGGCATTGTAACGAGGAAAGAGGTGGGTCTGCTTATTTGCAGGTTAGAAAGTCCTTTTTGGGTTCTAGTGGAAAGTCCTTTTCTGCTTATAGTGGTATTTGTACAAAGGTCGCGTCTCCCTTTTCTTGTTACTTCCCCTCCTTTTCCATGGTTTCGTACTTTTTGCCCCAGTAGATTGGTGCCTGTCTTTATTATTCTTTGAGATCAAATGGGGTATCTATCAATCAGCGTTATGGGCAAAAAGACTTGGGAATTTTCTGAATATTATTGAGGTTTACTGGTCACTGTTATTAGAATGACTACCATGGCCGTGCCCACCCGATCATTAATTTGTAATTTGTGAACAGTCTTCAAATTTTCATAATACGACAATCTTTTAACTGCTGCAATCCCCATTCAATTTCCAATCAGTTCTGGGCCTTACTAAAATCACTAATCACAGGACTCTGTTTCTTACTTTTAAGTTCTAGGTAAATCGTTAGCCCTAATATGTGCTTAAGTTTTTTTTTCTTTGTTCAAGTGAACTTGAATCAATCAAGTGCAGAACTTTTGAGTTATTAAGGTATATTTCCTGTTTTAGTTACTTCTATTGTATCACATCCCTTATCCAATAAAACATAACGTTAGTGGATATAGAGTTATTTATTACTTTTTCCTACACCAATGATTCTCCATATATGATTAGGGGTGCACAAAAAATCCGAATATCCGAATATCCGAAAAAAATATCCGAAACCGGTTTTGGGAAAAACCGGTTTTTTTTAACCGGATCGGATTTTTTTAAACCGGTTATTTTAACCGGTTTGGAGAAAAAAACCTAGACCGGTTTTTTTACCGGATAAAAAACCGGTTAAAAACCGGTTTTTATCCGAAAAAAAACCGGTCTGGGTTTAAAAAACTAGCCGTTAATATAGCCGTTGGGGGGGGGGTTTGTGACCGTTTTTGACCGTTTTTTTCTTTAAAAAATTACCATTTTACCACCCTAAACATGTATAAATAGGTTGGGGATGTATTTGGTTGATTACAAATTCCTCAAATCTTATTACACACACTTAAACATCTCTCAAATCTTACTTTTGTAATTTTTTGTTCATCATGAGTAACACGGCTGAATCTTCCGTCGGGGGAAACCTTGAAGTCGTGAGAGTGATCGAACACACTCGAAACAAAGACATTTGGGATCACTACGATTTATGTGAGATGTCAAATGGCTCGAGGAGGGCGCGTTGTAAACTTTGTCTAAAGTTTCTTGCATCGGAAGGAAACACAACGTTGAAGAACCATTTGACAAAATCATGCAAGGCACTTCGCTCAAGATCGGATCCTAGTCAATCGAATCTTACACCGCAAGGTGGTGTTTTTATTTACGACAACGAAAAATTACGAGAAGCGTTTACAAAGTTCGTGATTACAAAAGCATTGCCGTTCGACCACTTTGATGATGAAGATTTCACGACAACAATTCAACAACTAATGCAACCACGTTATACTCAAGTAAGTCGTACTACCCTTAGAAGAGATGCTATAAAAATGTGGCGTACAGCGAGAGAAAAAATGATTTTAGGATTCCAAGAACACCGTTATGGTGTGTCGCTTACATGTGACGTTTGGAGTTCCCCTCATAATACCGGAAATTCTTTTTTAGCCGTTACGTCACATTGGTTAGATCAAAATAATTGGCAAATGATGAAAAGAACAATCGCGTTTGAATTATTCGGTGAGCCGCATACCGGTGTTAATTTATTTACACTTTTAAAAAGGGTAATTTGTCTTTATAAATTAGAAAATAAAGTTTTTTCTATATCCTTTGATAATGCATCGAATAATACAAACGCGGTTCCAAGATTGAAAATATTACTTTCACCGATTTTAGACGGTGCGTTTTTTCATACCCGTTGCGTTGCACACATAATTAATTTATCCGTGCAAGCCGGTTTGGAGGTTATTGAGCCGATTAGATTAGAATTCAAACAATGATAAATCGGTTCTTTGTAACAACAACAAAAGACTAAATGATTATAAACGATTTTGTAAGTCCGTTAATAAAAAGCTTTGGGTCCTAATTTGGATTGTCCAACTCGTTGGAACTCAACTTGGATGATGATGCATACTGCCTTAAGGCAAAGGGAAACATTGCAAACATTTCACGATCGGCTTTTCGAGAGGGGTCATGTCCCAAACATTTATCCGGATTCGAGTTGGAAATTATAGCCAAAATAACCGATTTGCTTGAGGTTTTTAAAAATGCAACAACTTTTTTATCCGGTGTTTATTACCCTACTAGCCCGTTGGTTCTTAATCAAATATTTTTGTTGGCTACCCGACTAAATGACTTTGAAACCGAAGTTTTTCAAGAAATTGGCTTTGCAATGAAGGAAAAACTTTTAAAATATTTTAAGGAGATTCCTCCCATTTTTACTTGTGCCGCCGCTTTAAACCCAACGTTAAATGTTGGTGGGGTTGAAACACTAATTGAACAAATTGCGTTTGCTTTTAATCTAACCGATGATGAACCCAACTTTGTCCAAAACCAAATAAATTATTTTAACAAATGTTTTCGAGACATGTTTGCAATTTATTTAAATAAATACGGATCAAGTAGTGTAATACACGATCAAATGAGAATGAATGCGGAATCATCTAGTAGACGTCCAAGTAACATAAATTTGAATCTTTTTAACACTCTTATAAATTCCCAATCCAAACGATCACGTACTACCACCCCAAGTAGCGAGTTGGGAAATTATATGTCATGCGATTTTCTATCAAAAATGACATTTGAAGAGTTTGAAAGTTTGGATATTTTGGCTTGGTGGAAAGAAAAGGAAGCACGATTTCCGATTCTAGCCGCCATGGCCCGTGATTTACTAACCGTCCAAGCTTCTACGGTAGCTTCGGAATCCGCTTTTTCTGTTAGTGGCAGGGTTATATCGCAACGGAGATTAAGACTAAGTCCCGAGTCGGTGGAAGTATGCATTTGTTTAAAGGATTATTTGGATGGAGCGGCTCGTAAGCAACATATCACCACCAAACGAAGAAGGCGAAGATGATGAAGAAGAGATGGCAATGTAGTTTATTTTATAACTTTATTTCAATTATCGTAAACTTTGTTTCAATTATCGAACTTGAAGTTTTTAAGTATTTGAATTTATCGAACTTGGAAGTTTTTAAGTATTTGAATTTATCAAACTTGGAAGTATTTAAGTATTTTAATTATGTTGAGTTAATTAAGTATTTCAATTAAGTATTTAAATTTATCGAACTTGAGGTTTGATGCTTTCTCTTTGATTCTCTCTTGATTCTAGTTGTTTGATGTTTATTGTCTTTGATCAATGGCTTCTAAGCTTGCTTAAATACACCTTGAATCACTTCTGAACATTAATGATAATTAATGAAGATAATATAGCCGTTTAAGTGTGAAAACATTTAATAAAAATGCTTGGAGCGTGGGGGAATCGGTACCCTCTCATAGGGAATCGGTTCCCTAAGTGTAAAATTCAAATATTTCGACCGTTGAATAGGGGGGAATCGGTACCCCCTATGGGGGAATCGGTTCCCTCCGAGCATTCTGGAAATCTCGGAGCCAAACCATTCAGTGAGGAATCGGTACCCCCTTGGGGGGGAATCGGTTCCCTATGAGTAATCTGGAATATTAAAATCGGTTTTTTTATAACCGGTTTTTTAAAAAACCGGTTTTTTTAAAACCGAAACCGGTTACACCGGTTAGGATATCCGGCCCTCCAAACCGGTTAAAAACCGAACCGGTTATTTTATAAACCGGTTTTTTTCTATGAGAAAAAACCGGATCGGATAAAAACCGATCCGGATCGGATTGAAATCCGACAAATGTTCATCTCTATATATGATCCGTCCAAGCATCCAATAACACCAAGCTTAAATATAGTCTATAGATTTATCCATTAACGCAGATCAATGTCAGAACCAATGGGGTTCACTGCCTTTTTTTATAACAATAACGATTCGATTCTTCAAATCAGATAACTTGCAAACACATCCAAATGGCACCAATGCTTTGCTTCTGTCTATAGTAGCACTCTTGGCATTATATCAATTTTTGAACTAACAAAAGCCATCAAGTTAAGATTTTGGTGAAAACTGTGGTTTTTGTGGCAGAGAGAACCACCTTAAGCACATCAATCCTCGGTGAAAGCCAAGAATAGAAGAAAACATGATTTCCTTTCCTACACTAGAAATAAGTGAACTAATGGCAATAGCAACAAGATGCTATTAAATTAGTATTACCATTCAACATTGTGCAATGAGCATACGAACTTGAGTTTCAAAGCTGGATCATGATAATGATAGATGCAAATCTCAACAATTGCAGTTCAAAAATTTTGTCAGTACCGTCTAAAAATCTATACAAAATCCGAACCTGCATAGAACAAGAAATTGCAGGTTTTTCAACCTTGAAGAATCCTGGAGGAACCCAAATCTTCTTCCACCTTCATTCTTTTGTTTAACCCGAAACTGGCAGATATGATATCTACAGCTTTCTTCTGTGAATCAAGGATCATCTCGATCCTTTTGTTCTCCATTTGCATTCTGAACCTCTCAGTTTCATGCATAATTTCCATCTTCTTCCTTTCCATCCTCTCAAACCTCTCTGCAAATCTCCTTATTTCCACGGCAATTCCCACTCTTTTACCTGCTTCCTCCAATCCCGCGACTGCTACACCACCATCCTCGTGCTCTTCCGGTCTGACCTTTTTCTTCCCACCGCTTAAAAGCCCCGGAAAACGGTTCACAACAGTCGGTCGACGCAGAATGTGATTGATACTGCGGCTTTTACTGAAGCAGTAATCTTCTTCTTTGTCCTCGTCATCATCGTCTTCTTCTTCTTCCTCGTCGTTATGGTGGTTATATCGATCTTCATGCCCATCTTCGGGATAAAAGTGTTTCTCTCTGGTTGGAACAACGGTAGTCAATGGTCGACCCGAGATAAGCAAAGGCCCGTGCTCCAGAGCTTCCATGGCGTCGTAATAAGGCCAGGGTGATCCCGGACCAAGGCCCTGGCGTTCGGACCGGTAGCGGCGGCGGAGTTTCTCCATCTTGTGACGGCACTGGAGGGCGGTTTTGGAGGCGTGGTCATCTAAGAGTCCGCAACGAGTGGCGACGGTTGCGGCGACTTCTTCCCATTGGTTGGCCTTGAGTTGGCCGCGCTGGAGAGAATACCATTTCTCTTGGTAGGCTTGGATTAGGTTGAGGGTTTCTTGGTGAGTCCAAGGAAGGGGCTGGGGTTTCTTAGCGGCGCTCGTGTCAGCTGCTGGCGATGGATGAGACATTGTTTGGGCGCTGGGGGTTCAAAAATTCGGAGAGCTCTTTTTGAAGGAATTATTAAGGGTTCGGGACTGGGGAGCCGGGGCGTTTATGACGGTGGTGGTGGACGGTTGAGTGAGTGGAGATCGGTGGGTAATAATGTTTCCACTTTCTGTTTTGATTTTTTTTTTCTTAATGGACCCAATCCCGGAGATATTGTTCTGCTTCTACACTTGAAGTAAGGCCCAAAATTGGACAGAAAATAAAAAAGAATGAGGCCCAACTTATACTAAAGTGGGTCAAAATTAGAGGCCACAATCAAGCCGTTCGAATCAGATTTGGATCATTATTGTATTCTATTTAGATATGATTTAGGTTAGACCAGATATGATTCAGATTTAACTCAAATCTATGATAAGTCAGGTTGAATTAAGTATTAAATTGGTTCATTGTCGATTTGAACATAATTAAACTAGGTCTATATCGGATTAGTCAATTTTTAAATTCAAATATAAGTCAGGTTGAATCGAGCATTAAATTGGTTCATTGTTGATTTGAACATAATTAAATTAGGTTTATATAGGACCAGTCAATTTTTTAAATCAAATTTATATCTGAATCTTTGAGTCATTTTAAATTGAGTTGGATATGAATCCAATCGTGTATATATATATATCATTATTAATATACTAATGTAAAAAATATAGATTTTTATTTATTAATTTTATCATTTAGATTCAATTTCTACTTTCAATAGTTTAATAGTTCAATGTCTCAAATGTACAAAGTTAGTTGTATCATATGTTCTCAAAGTATGAACCTCATTTTAAATTGGTCCCTAAACTTTTAAATATTTCAATTTCATACGGCCATCATTCTAAATTAGTCCTCAAACTTTTGAACATATCAATTTCATCCTCAAACTATGACCTTCTTTCTAAATTGGTCCCCAAACTTTTTGAACATTTCAATTTTATCCCAAACTATACATGTATGCTAATTGCATCCCTTGTTAATAGAATCGTCATGACAAGTTATATTATTATATGTTTGAAAAAAATAAAATTTAGTTTAAACTATAGTGAAACTAATTACATATTTGGATAGATTTGGGAATGAAATTAAAATATTCAAAAGTTTAAAAGGGTGTTATAATTTAGAGATGGAATTAGAATCTTCAAAAGTTTAAGGACTAATTTAGAATGAGTCATAATTTAGGGATAAAATTGAAATATTAAAAAATTTAAGGATCAATTTAGAATCAATATTATAGTTCGAGGACATTTGATTAAATTAACTCAATTTAACATTATGAAGAAGAAATCTAGTATAACTAAATTTAATATGTATAAACAGTCTAATATAAATATTTAACTTAATTTATAGTTACATATCATTTTTGAATAAAAGTTCTCTTTGTTCCATATTAATTTACTTTTATGAAAATATTTTTTAGGTTAATTATAATCTATTATCTAGCTAACATCAATTAAAGTTAATAACAAACAATAATTTTAGATAATAAATAATTTTATTTTAAATGTTTTATATTAAATATATATTTTTTAAAATATAAAAATTGACAAATTAAATATAAAAAGGATTCTTTTAAAATAAATTGAAGCATGAAACTATTATCAAAGTTGATAGAATACACATTGTGATCCAAAGGTAGCTCCGGTTATTCATTTATTGGAGGGACCAATCTCTTTGATTGAAGCTTCCCCTCTATATTTAGTATCCATTTATTTTAATTTTCGGTAAAATAAATTATATATTCTGAAAAATATTTTTTAAAAAACATTTTACGATGTTTGAAAGATGATGTTTAAACACTTTTTAACTAGTTGATAATTTTTTTAATTATTTATTACAAATATTAAATATAATAAATAATATTATTTATAAAAAATATTATATTTTTAAAATATTAAAATATTTTTATAATTCTATTAATAAAAATATTAATATTGGTATATTTTATTGAAATAAATATTATAATTATATTAATTATTTATTAAAGTAATAGTGTTATATTATATTTTAAAAAAATTAGCTAGTATATTTTAAATATCTTATAATTCTATCAAGGATCTCTTTCAGAATGTTCATCTCTTCGTCATCATAAGCAAAATTTTCTTCCATCATCCTTTGATATTGCCTCGCTTCCATTTCTATAGAAGCCTTATCCTCTTGCAGACGCAAAATCATCGCCATGGCTTCATCGGCAGCCGAAGCGGCTGCAGCCCTTTCTTTATCCAACTCCAAGCATATAGCAGCATGTTTAGTTTTCTCTTCTTCAAGAGCTTGTTCCAACATTCTGATCTGATTCGCTTCATCTCTGATAAACCCAAATATTTCATTAGTGTCGTCGCAGCTATAGATTTTTTCAGAAAAGTTGAACCTTTTTCCTCTCCACTGCTCAATTCTAAACCATGCCGGGTTGCCTCACTGACATCCGTGCAAGGTTGAGTACTTTTATCATCTGAAATAGCATGTTCACGTAGGTCAACACACATGTAATGCTAATAAAATATCAGAACTCAAAAAGCAATGAAAACTTCAACTCAACGAATGATGCCCTGAAGCAAAATTCACATGAAAAGTTGCTTCAAGATGCCGGGTTGCCTCACTGACATCCGTGCAAGTTTGAGTTCTTTTATCATCTGAAATAGCATGTTCACGTAGGTCACCACACATGTAATGCTAATAAAATATATCAGAACTCAAAAAAGCAATGAAAACTTCAACTCAACGAATGATTCCCTGAAGCAAAATTCACATGAAAAGTTGCTACTTGAAGCTAAAAGTACCAATTCGGAATATATTCACAAGCGTACATGCATATATACATATATATTACAGTATAAAGATTTCACAAGAGATGTGTTTAACTTAGCAGGAAAATTGTCTTCAATTTCACTAACTGGACCGAAATTATCCTTAATCTCACTTCTTGTTTCACCAGCATAATATAAGAAGAACATGAGACACCTGCAACTGCAGATGATGGGGAATTACCAGACAACAATACTGGAGTAGATTTTCCATTACCGAAAGCAGTCCGCCGCCGCCTCTGAGTTCACGATTTCTGCTTTTGATTCATGGTTCTCTTTCCAATGGATGCCATCTTTATCCACCATAGTTTGCAATTTCAGACTTGAAAGTGAAATAGAACATGCTTCACCTTCCAATCCAATGACCCCGATGCCAAATTTTACATCATTCGGTTTCAACTCTCTATAGTTGATCGAAACCGAGTCGAAAGGGAACGTATTCAAAGCCAGATTTTGAACAGAGTATATTTTTCTCCTTGGCCATTGAATAAGCAGATTATGCCAGCAGTGGTTGCTATTTTGGTACCCAAAAACCCAGAGCAAGGGCAAGGCAAGAGAATTCCAAAAACATCACAAAATTTCCAAGCAAAATAACCCAAGGTTGATCCACATAGAAGGAAGCAAGCTATAGTAAGATGAAGAAAAGATCTTACAAGACCGGTTAAGGCCCATGAAGAGGTCAAAATTCCCAGAGCAATTCAGCTACACTAGTAAATGAATTAGCCCTGGAAAAAAGAAAAGCAACAACCCACCATGAGAAATACAATAACAAAAAGGAACTTCAAGTTCAACTTCCAAAATAGAAAAAATTAAATTCCAAAACAGAAGAACTTAAAAGAGGAAAAAGTAGAGCAAATCAAAAGGAACAAAAAAGGTCGTTATTTCAATAAAAAGTGAGGGAAACCTGGAATTTTGCAGGGAATTGAGTTATTGAGCAACGGAGATGAAGTAGAAACTTGGATGTTAAGTAAACAAAGGGATTAAAGATGTGCGGATCAAAGCGGGTCGGAAAAAAGAGCCGTCGTTTCCAAGGATATTATGGTTACAGTTAACGACGAAGTGGGGTGACAAAGATTATATCGGAAAGTGGGAACTCACCGTCTTTAAGCTCTGTTTGCGACTTTGTCCGATATCTGGAACTGAACAAAGACTACCACTGTCGGCGACCGCCTATGTTTTATAGGATCAACAGTGCCGTGTAGGATCTGTGAACAATTTCTGTTCAATGTCACTTGTCTAAGCTGACAAATAATATTTCAAAAAAAAAAAAAAAGCTAACAAATAAGAACTTAGAAGCCAGTGTTTTCCCCCCTCCCCAACAACTCATCCATATTTTTATTAGTTTTAATCAATGAACTGGCGAAATATGTGATCATTTTATCGGAATTTAAATTATTAAATATTTTAGAATTAAAATAAAAATGAAAAGGAAATCATTTATATTTTTAAGTTTAATTTTTTTAGATAAAGATTAAATTTATTAAATTAAAATTAAATTGATAGAATATATAATTTTAATAAATAAAATTATTATATATTAAATTTTATCATTATTTATTAATTTTTTAGTAATTAATAATCATTTTAAAATGAAAACAACATTAGTGATTGATTTATTAAGAAATAATGATCAAAATAAAAATTCAATAAATTAATTATATTTTTATTCTAGATTATTAAAATTAAAAAACATAGAACATGTAATTTTTTTTCTTTTTTATGTTGGAGTCATGCCCACCTCTCTTTCCCCCCCCATTTCATCAATTTTCTAATAACTTTTAAAACTTTTAAAGTTTCATCCTTATATAATGGGGTCGTCAAAATTGTTGTTTTTTGACATCTTCTCTATCATTTTAAGTGTTGATAAATTTATCTCATCATCCCTCTATCATTTTATCAATTTATTTTTTTTAAAATATAATTATTCAAAACTAGTAAAACTTCAACCAAAAACTCGAATGAAAATTACTTTAATCTGTAATCTTTATCATCCGATTATCGTGAAATCAAGAAACATTGATCATCTCCTTCTTCTCCACCTCCATATCATTTGAATTTAAAAGAAGATGTTTCATCACCGAAAAATCAAAGAAAATTTAAAAAAATAAGTTGAAAATTTCAAATTGAAAATTTCAAATTGATTTTCACAAATTTAAAAACCCTTTTCATAAATTTTGAAATGTATATATCATATCATAATGTCGTTTAATTATTTAGCGATGAAATGATAAAAAAAATAAAATATGTCAAAGTTGAATGGTGAAATTAATCGTTTTTAATATTTAATGATCAGAATATGACTGAAATTGAGTGATGTAATTTGTAGGTTACCCTAATAACAATAAAGGTTGTTACTAAATAATATAATGAGTTTTTCATTTCGACAGAAAAATAATTTTATAAAAACAAATGGCCGAAAAATAGAACAGATACTAATGATTTTAGAGTAACTTGTAAGCCAACTCTTCATATGATCTCGCAGAACACCTCAGCATGTGGTCAATCCATTTATATTACTGCGAACACCATCGATATTTGACTTAACATCTATCATATTTCAGTTTAATTAATATGATCCTTACATTAATATTCAGAAAATTATCAATAAACTAAATTGCATGTATATAATTAATTAAATATAGAATTAAGTATTTAAATATAAAATAACACGATCCAATCGTTTAATTTTCCAATGTTAAATTTTATTTTATAAATAAAACTTGTAAAAATAAAGAAATTATTTATTCGGTAATTTTAGTTCAACTAAGAGGAAATTCGATTCGCTTATTTCAGTTTTCGACAATAAAATTGATCCCTCTAATAATTGTATCCTGGTTTCATTATCCTATTTTGTCCCTCATGTCTGGGTGAAGAGGAGAATTGAGACTATCAATCTCAGCTGAAAACAAGAAATACCGATATTGTGATATAAAATAACTGCATAAATACAACCGATACGAACGCCACGTAAAATAATAGTTTCTCACATGTATAAAAACAAAGATGACGACATCAGGCTTACAAATTGTTAAATCCTGCGGCCAACTGTTTGTTTCCCGAGAAAATTAAGTCGGTTACTTGGCTACCCGATATCGAGTTATTTTCTACTCAAGTTCACCGAAAACATAGATAATATTTTTCAGGGAGATGACACGCTTACAACGCGACAACCAGAAACAGTGGAAATATTTGCAGAGATATGAATGTAGTAGAACCAGATGAAGATAACCATGAACAATATATGGCAGACAAACATAAACCTGATTGCAACCAATGTGATAACTCAAAAAATAGAGGCGATAAGACTACCAAATTGGACACAGATGGGACATTCGGTGTATGAATTTAGTCTCTTAACTATTAAATGAATCAATTTAGTCCCTGATTCAAATTCATCCATCTACTATAGATGAATCAATTTAATCTATATACTAACAAAGAATCAAATATAATCTACGCACTAGTAAAATGAATCAATTAACACCGATATATATAGATTTAACATTTATTGTTTAAAATAATGTCATTAATATTATTAACTTTTCGGTATAACCAATGGAATCTTAATCTGACTCGTTCATTGGCCGATTAAGTAATCAAAATCTATAGAGTTTGATTATGATAGTAACACTCATAATTCAATTTTCTTCATTCACAGGATTTGAATCTCTAACATTATTTAAAAGATTTAATATATCATCCAATTAGACTAATTGATAATTTTTCAATCGTGATTTAACTCTAAGAAAAGATTTCATTTGGAGATCCATAAAAGTTATAAAAATATCATCTGTTACACACTAATCGACAATAAATAAACTGATATTATTAACCCCGTAAAAAATGATTTTATTTTGTTCTTTTTACTAGTATAGGGACTAAATTAACCTATTTAATAGTAGAGCGATTAATTAGAACCAATCAATAGGGACTAAAACCGGTCTCTTCCATTTAGTAATACAATTGCTACAGTAGAGGTACCTGGCAAGGTACTTCAACCCACTAATTTATGCCAAATCTCACGGGTTAGGAAGAACGCAATTCTCTATGGATCGGAATCCTGCAGTAATTCTAAAGGATATGTGGATGTGCTTTTGTTCATTGAAACTCTAATTTAGAGCGAAATCCGAACAATTCTAACAGTGCCTCAACTATCCCAATGGAAATCCAATCCTACAGTACGCTGTGCAGTGGAAAACAATCAAACCAACAAGATGATCAAAATTACAACTTAAAGAATGCTTAGTGGGAGATCAATTCCAATAGAAATCAGATTGCAAATTTAAGAGTCGAAATCAATGTCAATTAAGCGAACACCTGAATAGTATGTTGATCTTAAGACGACAAAGCCAAAGACTCTAAAAACACCAAAGAAACACAAAGATCTGATTCCCCAATCAAGGTAATAATACTATCATTATTACCGTCCACCGTGATTCATCGACAATTTGACATCATTATTTCTTGGTTTTGTTTGCGCCACCGCCACCGGCCTTGTTCCCTTCAGCTGCCGCCTGTGCCACCTTCTTTGCAGCCTTTTCTTGCAAGGCCTTCGCATCTCTGCCCATTCACAATTCCAAAAATCAGAAGGAAAGAAATAAATAAAACTAAAAATAAATGTGAAAGGAGGAGGAAAATACGAAACCTTTCACGGCGTTGCTCAGGGATTAACCCATCGTCCTTGGTCTTGCCTTTGTTGCCCGCTCGGGCTTGAGCCCTTTCTCGATCTCGATCTCTCTGGTTACCGCGTTAGCTACATTAACAAGAACAGTTGAGAGCCCAATAATTAACGAATTATGCATTAATCATACAGATCGAGAGGATATGAGTCATGACTGATTCCCGAAACCAGATTACGATCAGCAAACGTTAACCGCTGAAAAATTCAAACAATCGATGAAACACGTAACAAAATGATTAAAGAGTTTAATTTATAGGGCGAGAAAGAAAAATTACCCGCAAAAAAGGTGAATTGGATCTTGTAGTGGAGGAGAAATAAGGCGTGGACTTTAAAAGAACGAGAGTTATTTGCGGCCAAATGGATCAGTGAAGGATTCCACGAGCCGCATATAATAGTCTTCAAGCCATGTTTAGAAGGCAAATTTTATTCTCATTGGTAAATCAAATAGTTGTGTTTCGTTAGTAAAGAGTACTAAAACATTTAGCCATTCATATAATTTTGAGGTTGCGGTATAATTTAAATTAAAATATTAGTATATATGAAATTTTAGTAAATTTTTAATTTAGTTCAATAATTTGGTTTCGGATCTTTATATTAGCTGGTTTGGGATTTGATTTTTTTTCGTTCTGATGTCAATAATTTTTTATTAAAAAATTAAATATAAATACTGATAAGGTTGTAATAAATTCTAAATTTAATTCAATGACTAAGCGTTGGATCTTTTACCCAGCGGTTTTCAGGTTTGATTCCTTTTCCTTCTTAAAAGAACGATATCCTTAGAATAAAAGGCAATGTTAGTGACAATATTGTCAAAAATAATAGTTAAGTGATTAAAAAAATCAATAGTTTTGTAACACTGAGCGTAGTTTACCCTAAACAAAATTTTAAACAAATGAAGTCATTTACTTGTCAAAATGAACCGTTTTGGTCATCAAACATTACCATATACATCATTTTAGTTGCATTGAGCTCGGCTGAACTCACGTAATAATACTGTGAAAAAAATTTATTCACAGCATAATACTCTCCAATAATTAATTCTTGAGATGGTGCGAATGCTACAGGGGTGAGATTGGTCGCCATGCAGTCGGGGCGAAGCATGTATTGGTCGTCATGCAGTCGGGGCGAAGAAGTAGGTCGCCATTCAGTCTGTTGAAGGTCGCCATGCACGTTCGGCATTGTTCTGCATGCACGGTTGGAGGTAGCTGGAAAATAATCATTTACTGGAAACACCATGATTCATATTATACTATTCCCTCAATTTTATATTTGTTCTCATAATGCACATATTTTAAGAAAGTCAACCTTCTTAAGCTTTATCATATCATTATAATTATTTTAACCCATTATATTAAAGTTATGTGGTTGTAAGAGTATTATATTAAAGTGGGGTTGTAAGAGTATTATATTAAAGTATATAAATATTTATTAAACCCATTAATAATAAAATATTATTATTGTTATTAATAGTTTAACACTTGGGCCACATGTGATATACTGGCTAACGGAAATATTGTTCATTAAACAATCTAAATGGTTCAACGAAAATATTGTTCATTCTAGAGGTCTTAGGTTCGAACAACTGGATCTGTAAGCTGTGTGTACGTTATTAATTATTAAGAAAAATTCTAAATCGATGATATATTGTAATTATCCTATACTATTTATAAAAAAAATAATATTTTAAAATATATTATTAAAATACAATATACAACAAATAATATAAGTAACTATTGATTCTACGAACCCTAAACCCTAAAATATTTTGGTTGTTGCTGAAAACCTTTATAAATTCATGGTATATTGAGGGAAATGAAAGTGGTAGAGGATGGTGATATCTACCATGATGGTGGTTACAAATTTGTTTTTTATAAGAAGAAATTGTTTGGATGGAGAATTGTTAGGGTTCAAGGTTTAAAGTCTAGGGTTTAGGGTTTTTAGCAACAACCAAAATATTTTAGGGTTTAGGGTTTATAGTTCACAAAATCAATAGTTACTTATATTATTTGTTGTATACTGATTTTACGAACCTTAAACCCTAAATATTTTTGGTTGTTACTAAAAACCTTTATATATATATAGTATGTTGAGAGCAATGAAAGGGGTAGAGGATGGTGATATCTACCATGATGGTGGTTACAAATTTGTTTTTACAAAGAGGTAGAGGATGGTGATATCTACCATGATGGTGGTTACATATTGTTTTTACAAGAAGAAATTGATTGGTAGATAAAGGTTTTAGTAACAACCAAAAATATTTAGGGTTTAAGGTTCATAAAATCAGTACACAACAAATAATATAAGTAACTATTGATTTTGTGCACTATAAACCCTAAACCCTAAAATATTTTGGTTGTTGCTAAAAACCCTAAACCCTAAACTTTAAACCCTGACCATTCTCCCTCCAATCAATTTCTTCTTATAAAAACAAATTTGTAACCACCATCATGGTAGATATCACCATCCTCTACCCCTTTCATTGCCCTCAACATACCATGAATTTATATAGGTTCTCAGCAACAACTAAAATATTTTAGGGTTTAGGGTTCACAAAATCAATATACAACAAATAATATAAGTAACTATTGATTTTGTGAACCCTAAACCCTAAAATATTTTGGTTGTTGCTAAAACTCTAAACTCTGGACTTTAAACCCTGAACCCTAACAATTCTCCATCCAAACAATTTCTTCTTATAAAAAACAAATTTGTAACCACCATCATGGTAGATATCACCATCCTCTACCACTTTCATTTCCCTCAACATACCATGAATTTATAAAGGTTTTCAGCAATAACCAAAATATTTTAGGGTTTAGGGTTCGTAAAATCAATAGTTACTTATATTATTTTGTTGTATATTGTATTTTAATAATATATTTTAAAATATTATTTTTTTATAAATAGTATAGGATAATTACAATATATCATCGATTTAGAATTTTTCTTAATAATTAATAACGTACACACAACTTACAGATCCAGTTGTTCGAACCTAAGACCTCTAGAATGAACAATATTTTCGTTGAACCATTTAGATTGTTTAATGAACAATATTTCCGTTAGCCAGTATATCACATGTGGCCCAAGTGTTAAACTATTAATAATAATAATATTTTATTATTAATGGGTTTAATAAATATTTTATACTTTAATATAATACTCTTACAACCCCACTTTAATATAATACTCTTACAACCACACAACTTTAATATAATGGGTTAAAATAATTATAATGATATGATAAAGCTTAAGAAGGTTGACTTTCTTAAAATATGTGCATTATGAGAACAAATATAAAATTGAGGGAATAGTATAATATGAATCATGGTGTTTCCAGTAAATGATTATTTTCCAGCTACCTCCAACCGTGCATGCAGAACAACGCCGAGCGTGCATGGCGACCTTCAACAGACTGCATGGCGACCTACTTCTTCGCCCCGACTGCATGGCGACCAATACCTGCTTCGCCCCGACTGCATAGCGACCAATCTCACCCCTGTAGCATTCGCACCATCTCAAGAATTAATTCTTGGAGAGTATTATGCTGTGAATAAATTTTTTCACAGTATTATTACGTGAGTTCAGCCCATTGAGCTCATTAATCTAAAACACTTATGTATTTTACCTTTATAATTTCATATATCATTTATTATTTGGGTTGATTGTGTTGGGCCTTTTTGTGCTCATTTATCTATTAGCAACCCAATATATTCAATAAAAGGTAATACCATGAATATACGGAGAATGAGTGAATTCATGGAGACCCGTTGAGAGTTCCCGAGCGTGTTTGGTCAGAAAATCTACTACTTTGTTGCAATCTCTTGGGGTATGCTTGATTTTGACTATCTGTTCCCATGCAAGTAGGGTATTGATATGTTATAGTAGCGTAAGTTGTCTCCCTTCATTACGGTGGCTCAACTTCACAATTTCGTTGTTGTCGTTTTTATTATTGTTCGTCTTTTCCCGATCTTCCATGCGCTTCTGAAACCCTCGTATTCCCTATAGTTCTGCTCCAATGGTTGAGCATATTCTATTTTCTTTGCAAAGCCTATTAACGAAGCTCCTCTATTGTACCTTATAGCTCCCCCGCCGGTAGCCTCACCAGTGGAGCTATTACGGGTGTCGTCCGTGTTCACCTTGCACCACTCGGGTGCCACGACCCAAGCCCTTGCTTCTGCTGTTAATCTCCTGAGCGGGTTCGGGCAATTTTGGCTTCAAATATTTCTTGGGTCAGCCTGATCCCTCTCTCTCCCGATGTTTACTGGATCAAATATGGCTTGTTTCTTCTGTCCCATAGGTCCACAATCACATCTATAACTACAACCAAAGAACAACAAATTGTAGACTTAAATTTAATATTAATTCATATTAAGGAAGATAAATAAATAAATGCAAGTTGAGGTGTAAAACTCGTAGGTTGGCGTAACGTCTGAGTTGATTCCTTAGAATCATTTATATATATAAAGAACAATACTAACCATTAACTAAACTATTAAATAATATTGGTCTTACATGTGAGCTCATCAATATTAAGATAAATAAGAAGCATATCGTGTCTAAAGTCAAACTAATACTTCATTGTTCCCACCTATATAGTTTGCTCGGTTGGCCAGTTGCTTAAATCAAGATGGATGGAAGACGTCAGGTTTAGTAATCGCTTTTTTAAAAAAATATTTTTTTATTATTTTATAATTTTTATTAAAAATTATCTTTTTATTCTTTAAAATTCTATAAATTAGTTTTCTAATACAAATCTTACATAGTCCAAAACATAAGCTGATGATATATTTTTTATTTTAATTATATCTATAAATGTTACATTAAATGTAAACTTTAATATAATTGTGATAATTTAATTTGGAGTATCTACGGTGGACAATTTATAATTCTGATTGTCGGAGGTCTTCCACGAAAGTTGCTCTCATGCTACTCTCAAGCTGGCATTGGAGGCAGCCTACTATCTTACCTCCCCCTCACCCCATTACATATGGGAATATGGTTAGCTAATTTTTTTTTACTCATGTTACTCAAAAGATATTTAAGTGTAAATATTGTTTATTTGACATGACATTTTAAAATTGAATAATATATTAATATGATTAATTATAATTTAATCAAAATTATTCCATTTAATTTAAATGTAGATGACGATAGTTAAACATATAACGTCATATCTTAATTTTAAAAAATAAATCATTTAAGGGTCAGTTTGTTTTAAAAAAGATTTTAAAAGTATCGTAAAAAAATATTTTTGAAAATAATAATTTAAAATTTAATTATTTTAGATTATTATTAAAAATGATTTTAAAAAAATAAAACGTCTATTTTAGATATTATGTTATAAATAAAAAAATATAATATTTGAGGATAAAAATATAACTTCATCAAAAAGTGATTTTTCACGATAAAAATCAAAAATTTGAACTTATAAAATTAGAGGTTAAAAATCACTTTTCAAATTATAATTTTAAATCAATTTTTAGATATTTAAAATTACTTATAGGAAGAAAAAAAATACTTTTCATTATTAAAAACATTCTCAGACTGATCACAAAATTATTTTTCTTATTTTTAAAATTACGAGGATGAAGATACAATTGCACAATTTTGTTTTTACATGTGATAATTGGAAGATCTGAGAAATTAAATCCAGCAAAGTGAGGAAAGGTTGTTTGTGTCTTTATATAACCCGACAAACTGCCACGCGGATCTCTAAGGTTAATGTTTATTTATTAAATATCTGATTGTAATAACCATGTCCACCTTCTTTAAACCCTTATTATCTCATCAGAAGATCACCCGAGCTTTAAGCCAAACAAACTCCCCGATATTCTTCTCCACTCTTTCATTTCCAAGAATTCTAAGAACTTTCTCTTTCTATCCTTCATTTGTTTTCTACCTCACTGTATCATTTTTAAAATACTAATCATGAACAAGTGAATTCCTTCTTTCTTTTTTCCTTTTTTAATGAAATGGAAAGTGGTAACCGGACGAGGAGTACGCTTTTTGAGCAGATGACGGCGGTCGAGAACGGCCGGGACGCTCTGGTCGGTCTAACTCCCGATGCCATTTTGGGAAACGCTAAGCAGCCTGAACAACCGCCGGCCCAGAACCGTACCCTTCTGGAGATTATACGAGACGATGAGTCTAACAAGGACAAGAAGAGTTGGAAAACGTTACGGGACAAGCTCCTGCTCAAGCGACCTATCTCTGCATGTAGTTCCTCAGTTCATATCCCGGCTTCTGATGTCATTTTTAATAGGAATAATCCCAGTTATCGCGGCACAGTTCCTTTCGTTCCCACTCTGCTAAACCCGATGATTCGTGTTGACTGTTGAGAACGGAGGCCAAAGTGTCCCGGTTTCAGACCCGCCGGTTATGAACTTTCGACCGCAATTGGCGCGAAGTGGTTCGATTCGGGTCAGGCGCAGTCCGGTTGATAACAATATCGGCTTGCGGAGCAATGCTTCACCGTCGAGAAGCTTTAGGTTAGAAATTACCGTGGGGAATGATGCTGACAGCAGCGAAGATGACGACTCTCCTGTGGCGCGTAATGAAACGCGGCAACTTAGAACTGCATTGACGCTGGAAAGGGCATTATCTGCGAGAGAAACGGCGGCGGAAGAGCCGGTGAGGATTTCACTGATGGACTTTTTGGAAGAAACGGAGCAGCAAATGGGGCTGATGGGAACGATCGACGATGAAGAATACGAGGAGGAAGACATGGGGGAAGCGAGCGGTGGGATGCAGCACATGTGTTGCGTGTGCATGGTTAGGAATAAAGGTGCGGCGATTATTCCATGCCTTATACCTTTTGTCGGGTTTGTTCGAGGGAGCTTTGGGTTCAGCGTGGGAACTGCCCGCTCTGTAATCGCATAATCCTGGAAATCCTTGATATCTTCTAATGTCTCATTTTCTTTTGAACAATAAAAATTTATATAATCACATTTTAAGGATTACACTGATAAACATCACATTTTATATAATAAATTTTATTATTGATGTTAAATATAATCATAATCTAGGTAAATATCATACTATAAAATCTAAATAAAAAGTTGGGATCAAATCCCATTTGTCTTCCTATAAACCAAACAGCATGATGATGAATTATAATGAATTTTGCTTTCTATGGGTCCAATCATTTTGTTTTAGCCACGTAATCAATTAAGCTTTTGATTATTTCATTGCTAAATACACCTTTTCATATCACTAAATCCACGTCAGCAAAAAGGTTTAAATAAGAGAATAATGACAAATCCCAAATTAATAGCCAAACTAGAGTTTTTTTTTCTTAATCCAAGATAAATATCAAATACAACTTCTTATTGTCTAAACAAATCCTACTTCATCCTTGATGAAAACTGTAAGGAGAGTCTATGTCAATCCTAAGTTAAGATAATGTTATTGATCTTGTAGAAAACAATAAATAATATTCACAAATTAATTATTAAATGAGATTGTTGATGAGATTTAACCTCTAAGTTTTACTAAAATATTAAATACTCATTAACTGAGATAAATTTTTTTTTACAAAGACTAGATCTAATCCTAATCATATCTAAAGGGAGGGGAAGTGGAACTCTAGGAAAAAGAAATAGAGTGTTCCTAGTAGGTCTAGAACACATGACCTAAAAGAGTACGAGGGAACAAAGATGAATAACTTAACCAACCGGATAAATGTTCTCGCTCCACTAACTAAGATTTTAAAATTCAAATGTTAGTGAATCCATTGGTATGTGCATTCTCGATGGCTAAAAAAACTTGAACAAGCTGTCATAACAATTTTTTATAAAAAAATTAAAATATTATTTTAAAAAACGATTATGACTTTAATTTTGGAAAAACTGGTGATTTTGAATTGATTGAAATAAAATGGAAAAGGGAGTCGCCATCGACCTTTGAGTTAGGTAGGTCGAATACCTAAAAACATCTTTTAAAAACAATTTTAAGGAAAATCATTTTTAAAGACAAAAATGGTCTGCGTTTACCAAATATTCGATTTAAACGGGTTCGAGAGTCGGTTACGCGTAGGGAATGATTAGCACCTCCACAACGCCCAAAAACTGGTACTGTGTCGCTTACACACTGTCGTAATAATGAAAATGATAGATCGAATATAAAGTTAAAAGATGATTCGTTTATTGAAATGTGATTGATTTGCTTCGAATTAACTATATAAAGAAAATCCTTTAACTTGATAAAAAATCTTGAAATTAGCAATCCTCCGTCGGGAAAGCTACTTCAACTATTTTTCATTGTTAAAGAATATTCTATCTTTGATTATGAAAAACAATATGAATCGAATATAACTATAAAACGATGTTTACATACAAATAAATTGATTAACTAAAAATTTGAATTGAATACAAATGAAAATTTTGAAATTTACATTTACATTTACCTAAAATAAAATAAATTACTATTTAAAATAACACACATTGCATCATTTGCACAAATTAACAAAATATACTCAACTTATTTTAAGTTACTTTGTCGTTAAAATGCCGTATCGGATCGCACCACTTCGACCAAGTGATACTTTCCACGCTCATTCTACGCATAAATGTTCTTAAAAGTATTCAAATAATATTAACAAATAAATAAAACCATGGAAATAAACAAGATTAAAAACGAAATAAAACATGTACAATAACTAGAGCCAATAATATATATATTCACAAATAACTACATTATATAAAATATTCATACATAAAGGACTAAAATAAAACTAAGATAAAATTACAAATCCAAATATAAATCAAATAAACACATAGGATAATTTCGGGGACTAAAATGATAAAACATGAACTTACATGGCTAAAATAGCAAAACAGAAAGTTAAAGGACTAAAATAGCATAAACATGAATTTATAGGACTAAACTGAAACAAATAGAAACTTAGGGACTACAACAATAATTACAAACAAATCAGATCCCAAGTAGAAAATGTTAAATAATACAAATACTGAAATGGAAATAACCCAAAAATTATGATAAAGGATTAAAATGAAATAAAAGTAAACATACATGCTACATTCCAGATTTAACACAAAATAACCAACAGTGACCAAAATAAAATTTTCATAAATTCTTTAGCCAAATTTGAACATCAAAGAAAATACACAAAACACGAGATTGGTGACTTAAATGCAACAATATAAAACATGGTGACCAAATTCGGATAATAACAATTGTAACCTAATATACAATAATAGGACCAAATTGAAATAAACATAAATTAAAGGGTCAAATTCGAACATCAACAAAAACATACACCACATAAAATCACTGACTAAAATGAAAACTTTAAAGAAAACTATGCTCAAAATAACATATAAACATACACATATTTAATATAAAGGCTAGGACTAAAATACAATGAAAACAAACATGATGCCCGAATCAGAATTAAACCAAATATCCAACAGTGACTAAAATAAAGACTTTACAAATGTCATGGCCAAATTAGGATGTCAATGAAAATGAACAACACACTAAAATAGTGACTAAAATGGACTAATTAAAAGTATCATGACCATATTCAAGCAATCATAGAAATATGTAAGATAAATGACTAAAATAAAATTATTACAAATAGGGTGGCCAAATTAGAATAACACAAAGATTATAAAATACATGGAATCAGTGATCAAATTGAAATATTTGAAAATATTGAAGACAAAATCAAATATAGACAAAAATGATATAAAACGTGGATAGTGACCAATATATAACAGTGAAAAAAATAAAAAAAAACTCAAAGTCAAATAAAATGAAACTTCATTTAATTGCTAAATCATGAGATTACAAGGATCAAGGACCTACGGTGTAGTTTACCCCTTTTACCAAAACACACAAATCCCCACAGCCTCAAACGACGTCGTTTCGCTTGATGGCTATAAGCCTAAAATCGGGCTTTCTCTGCCCATTTTCCTCATTTATGCTTCATTCTAAAAACAGAGAAGAGATAGATATTAAAACTTTCTCAACCTCTCCTTGCCGGCGAGAGGGAACCACGGCGGATTCGTGGCGGCGTACGGCGGCGCCAACGGTCGGAGAGAGAGAGAGACCCAAAAAGCCTCATTTCCTCCTCCTCCTCCCAGAAACTCACATACTTTTCCCTACAAACAACCTTAGAGCCTCAAATCTAAAAGGGTTACCTCTCGAATCAACGAAACGCCGACGACCCGTGGGCTTCCCCGACGAGCTCCGACCATGGTAAGGGCTTTTTTCACTCCCTTTCTTTCTCTTTCTTTTATTCTTTTTTAAGACCCCGAATGCTCTCTCTCTCTCTTTCTATTGTTTTTTTCCTTTTCTGATTTTTTTCTCTATTTTTCTTGTTTTCCCAAATCTCCCTCCTGGTCCCTTCTCTTGCATGCGATATCTCTTCTTTTATGCCCCAGAAGATTGATGGATTTGTGCTCAGTTTGTAGGGAAATAATACCCTAGGTTCTAGGATAAGATTTGTTTTGATTTATTTCTTTGTTTTCTGACTTGGTGTGATTTCTATCCACTGTTGATGATGGATGCGAGTCACTATTGTTGCAGAATAAGACGGCAACAACAGAAGGCTATTGGAGGGGAGGCTCAGCTTGATCGGCTCGACGACTGAGAAGCTTGACCAGGAAACTGAAACACCAAGAGCCGGCGGCTGCTGGGAAGCCAAACGGTTGATTTGGTACTTTAGGGTTTCAAAACCCTAAATTTTGAGTCGGGTCAGTTTTTTGGGCGGTTCACTGCTGATGGGTTGTATTTTTTTGGCTCCAGTATTGGGCTTTGATCACATGTTGGGCTTCGGGTGGACTGGGTCTTGGGTGAGATTATATTTGGGCCTATAAAAATTGTAAATTAATTAATTAATTAATAATAATAATAATAAAAAATTAAAATTAAATAGAAAAGACTCGGACAAAAACGGGTGTCTACAGCTGCCCCTCTTTGCACATTATTGTGTTAACAAGAATAGGGCAAAGACGATAAGACAACACGTTTTTGTCTGATTTTCTTCCTTTTTTTACTTAGAAATTGGATAATGTTGATTGCTGGGGACGACATTGCTCATACGTGGTGAAGAGTTCGGGTCGTCTAAGGGTGACTCGGTTCCTACGTGATGAGGAAATCTGGTCGAGGGATGACACTGCTCATACGTAATGAAGAGTTCTGGTCGGGGGATGACACGGCTCATACGTGATGAAGAGTTATGGCCATCTTTAGGAAGGGCGATAACACGGTTCCTACGTTATGAAGACATCTGGTTATCTATGGTTGACACGGCTCCTACGTGATGAAGAGATCTGGTCAAGGAATGACACTGCTCATACGTGATGAAGAGTTC